TAGCGATTCGATTCACAGTAAAGTTTGGAGGTGATAATAGTGGGAGTTTCATCCGTTTTACGTGAAATGGCGTGATACTCTGCGAAGTGTGTTTTTCAGTAGTGTTTTTCATATCACTAGGGTGGAACTCTAGTAGTAGATTACGATGAAAGTGAATGTGATAGTATTAGCGATTCGCATTAACCGAATATGACGATTAAGTATAATCGCAAATAAGCATTAGCGATTAACCGAGACTTCGCTAGTAGCGAAGTTTCGGTTAATACCGTAAATCTCAACAGCTCATACCAGCAGTGTATTGCAATACTGATGAATGTGTGGTATTGAGTCGTTCATAACATCAAACACTAGATGCGTTTCTCAACGAGTTAAAAACAGCATTGGAGTTTCTTCACCCTAGTGATATGAGAAACACTAGTGAAAACATATTTCACGACTATTGCAAGGCGCAAATAGCGCGTTTTTCACGGAGTTTTACGACGCCACTTCACGTAAAACGGGTGAAACTCCATTATATAGCCCTTACCGTTTCTCAGAAACTTCAATTCGCATTGAAATTTGATTCACGATGATGATGACAATAATAGATTGTATGCCATAGTCGCGGTTTCACCATAGAGACGTATTATGTGTGTAATACTGAAGTATATATGTTGTTGAATTTCTCGCCGTATTAAACACTAGATGTGATTCTTTCATCACAGGTCCGACGAACCTCCGACGTGAATCGAACAGTTAGGCAGGCGAAAGTGGCACTGAAGAATCGTCGACGTCGGAAGAGAAAAATCGAGTAAAAAATTTACCAATTCGTCACTGTATTAACTCCTTAGTGCTCGTACGGTCGAGCGCTTCTTGATAGAGCCTTCCCCACGTGAGGATGAAGATGAAATTGCAACAACGTAGGGCATCTATCACAACCTGTATGCGGCACTGTGAGAAGGCTCAGGCCTGGCTCGGATGATCATGGAAACGCGTCGACATCACCAGCGATTCCCTCGAGAGCTCGAACTTGTTGTGGTTCGTTGAGTAGAGGTCTTCACTCTCAAAACGACTGCATGCCGTGGCTACCTATTCTGTAGCGATGAACTCATAATGGTGACAATAAAGATTCGTTTTAGGTCGCCTGAAAGGAAGTGGTATATTCGAGGATGGATTCCTCTGATTTTCACAGCTCTGGTGGGTACGGTTGTGTTGGAATATATGTTGGCTTTCCTCAACTGAGCTCAAGAGTTTGCTCACTGATTATAGAATTGCCCAAAAAACAGCAGAAACTTTCTGAGACTTTTCATATTTTCGATGACACATTTAGTTGACATGTGCATATTTTCTCACACTGATCTCGAGAAAATCGCCTTTATGCTGGTTCGAGGCGTTTTGATTCGGAATATGAACAGTGCACAAGTAGAAATGGATGATACTCGAGTAGTTGGATCTAGTATGAGCTAATACGCACATGGTCAACTACATGTGTTGGTGACACTTTGAGAATTTTTTTATCGGTTTCTGAACATTTCTACGTTAGTATATAAACTCCTATAAGTTACTAAGCTGAGGAGAACCAATACATGTTGAATCAATCATCGATTCAGTTATACTCTTTTTCAGATGTACACCGCGACGTTGGAGACGTTTAGGTTATGTTTTCTCACAGTTGGCGATTCGAGAATTTTCTGGGAGGTCAGTTCACTTCGACTCAACGACGCATTTAGCTTTGAGAGATAACGACATCAGGGCTTGATAAAAATGGGGGAAAATGATGTTGCTAATGTGATGACATTTGCATAATGAAAGTAGACACTTAAAGGCTAAAACTGATCCCTCGTGAGCTCATGTGCATCGAAGCGAGTCTGACTAAGCCGTGCAGTCGTAGGCGTTGGACTTCAGACTTACACGCACATTTACATGGGAAACTGATTGAAGAACGTGGCAAATTCAAAATGAATTCTCGCCTGGGAACATTGGAGTTTCACCCTAGTGATATGAAAAACACTAGTGAAAAACACATTCCACGTCTACTGCATATCGCCGCGAAAATCGCGTATTGCACCTTCACGTAAAACGGGTGAAACTCCATTATAGGTTCCTGGATGATTCTCTGATAAGATTCTGCTAGCGTTCATCCCTTAGTTGTGCAGGTCATCACATTGTTGGTTGATATTATTTTTATCGTGGATTTACTTATCAATTTTCGATTGATGTATCAGCGATCTGGAGATGGCATGCTGGAGCAACGTGGCAAGTGAGGAAAGTCTCTGTCGGGGTTTCCAACACTGTGGGGAAGCATTGGAGTTCAACCGTTTCTCGTAAAGTGGCGTAAAACTCGGTGAAAAATGCGAAACTCGCGGTGATATGCAGTAGTCGTAGAATGCGTTTTTCATATCACGGGTGAAACTCCAGTGTATATGACAAAATCGTGTTGCTCACTGGAGTTTCACCCGTTTTACGTGAAGTAGCGTAATACTACACAATACGTAATACTACACGTAATACTACAATAATTCACCCGTTCTACGCGAAAAATGCGACATTGGCGCTATGCAGTAGTCGTGAAATATGTTTTTCACTAGCGTTTTTTATATCACGGGTGAAACTCTGCTGAACTAAACTGAATGCGACTACTATATTTTGAATCTCAAATACAACGAGTGAAAGAAAGAATTTAAAAAATGAAATTAATTCACGAATTTAAACTCTGCTTTTTGAGTGGTTTTCATATCAAATTTGAGTTTGCATCCTGTTAGAAACTTTTTTCATTTTACGAAAAAATAATTTAATTTTTCTCTCAATTCTGTTGTTGGCTTGAAATTGGGAAATTGTGTAAAAGGACAACTTTGTTATTTCTCTCCGTTTGAAAACCGAAAATTTTATGATAACGTGATGACAGATTTTATGCTATATGACGTGGTTTATATATGTGATTGGTATTCGAGCATTGCAGTGTGGGAAATTACGGACATGATCAACTACATTTGTCGGTGACAAAATGAAAATTTTGGTAAATTCTTCTTGGTTTTATTAACAATTCTACCATAATTCGTATATGAGCACTTCTGAGCTCAGCTGAGGAAAGTGAACATGTTCTGGTGGCAATTCTGGTGGCATTGTCATCATCGAAACACTGTGGCGATCTGTGCAGATCAAAAGTTCACTGCAAACCGCGTAGTTGTCAAAGCTAATCTCGGTGTCTCCTTTGCCATGTAACTGATTACCGATAATTTTTGCTTTCCCCTTTAGTCATTGATATTTTCGCAGTACATGGATTTTCACTTGGTTTTATTTCTCGCTGATAAGCGATATTATTTCCTTTCCTTCTTAGTCGTATATTCTACCATTATCTCTGTTCCTGGTTTATATTCGATTTATTGGCCTGCTTACCCCTGATAGCAACGACTGTGCCTGACTTCAACACGGTAGTGGCATCCATGTTGAACTACTACTCACTGTCGTGTGAGCTCAGGAGAGTACAAGTTTCAACGCAATCCGTCTTTTACGTCTGTTACGGCTAATTCGACTTTTTAAAGTGCTGCAACATCGTGCTCTCCTGAGCGGCGTTTTTCATAGGTATACTCGGAAGTACATCAAAGAGTCAATGAGTTATTCTTGGACAGGTTTTTGAGTGAAGCCTGGGCGGAGTTCGCCCTTTTTGGTGTTTTCCTCGCGACGGCTATTCACGTCATAGCTTGTATATGGTAGGGGTGACACGGTCCTTATTATCGTATTGATGTATCACCACTATCTGCAGAATTCCCAGATCAAATTTACCATTTTTTGGAAAAAAAAATATTTTCTAAGCTTTTTACTGACTGGTGGGGTAATAAATTATCGAAAATTTTCATGGAATATCTGAACTTTTCGAAAACAATCGAACTTCGATCAACGACGTTAGTTTTGGCTAATTTACTGTCAAAATTGTTCTGGAAATTCTGCAAATATGGCAGAAATTTTTGTAGATTTTCCGGTAATTTTCAGGTATTTGGTTGCTCGAGCGGAGGATTTCTCATTGCGAAGTTGGCCTCGAAGACAGCTGAGCTCCTTTGTGAGATGCAAACAAGTTTCGATGCGTGCAGTCATCTCATATCAGGACGAAAGCTGTGATGATTTCCAATATCTCGACACGGAATCGCTTGTGAATCAATGCATACGGCCACTTGGTGTCAGGTGAGTTAGAGTTGTACTTGCATATCAATGGAGTTTCGCTCTAGTGATATGTAAAACACTGGTGAAAAATATATTTCACGACTACTGCATAGCGTGGATTTCGGGTTTTTCACAGAGTTTTACGCCACTTCACGTGAAACGGGTGAAAGTTTAATGTTGGAGAATATGCACACGGTCAATGTTGGTGACAATTGTGAAAATTCTGAGGAAAATTGGGGAAATTATCGTTTGTTTCTGTACAGCCCTACCAGAATTTGTATGTACACTTCCATAGTTAGTGAAGAAATTCCTGAACTCAGCTGAGGAAAGCGAGTATTCATTCCAACATTGTTGCATATACATTTTTTCTGTGTAAGGATGTACAGTGTAAGAATCGAATTTGGCTCTAAGAATTTCATTAGTGGAGTTTCATCCGCTTTACGTGAAGTGTCGTAAAACTCGGTGAAAAAAACGCAATACTCGCGAGCTGTAGTAGTCGTGAAATATGTTTTTCACTAGTGTTTTACATATCACTAGGGTGAAACTCCAATATACAATCAAAATTGACAATGAAAATTCAAGTTGGTCGCGTCTTCGTCAGTCGAATGGTGTTGACGTATACAGTGTAGTTTTATCTGTTTAAAGTGAAGTGGCGTAAAACTCGATGAAAAACGCGAAATATGTTTTTCACTAGTGTTTTTCATATCACTAGGGTGAAACACCATTGTGTTAGATATGTGGCCTCAGTGTACTGGGTGGTCACTACAGTAACAACGGTTGGCTATGGTGATATCACTCCTAATACTGCACTAGAATATGTAAGGATATTCATCAGCTCCATGTTGTTCGTGTCAGTATGCATTTGTTGAACTTCTACATAACAGGAGAAAATTGTGAGAAAATTTCGGAAAATTTTGTTGGTTTTTTTGTGAATTTTCAACCGAAGTCACGTGTAAATTTTCTTTCTATAATTTTCTGAATGTCTCTGAGACTAGGCTGACTGGCGTTACTCAACCTAGTCTTAGCGAAATTCGCGATATTTCAGAATTTTTTCGAGAACTGTAGTTTCATCTAAGGAACTCTCACAGGTGTTCGCCATGGCGATCATGTGTTTGGGCGTGGCCGTTTACGCCCAGATCATCAGCCGTGTTGCTAGTAAGCTCAGGAGCAGTGGCTCGGCCGTTTTACATTCTAGCAGATATTTTGGCACTTCGGGATAAGAATAGAAAACTGAGAAATCAGCGATTGTCGCATCTGGTGGAGTTTTGCTCGAATGCTGAGATCGACCTGAAACTCATAAAAGATCTAAGTTAGTTTCGAGCCTTTCATCGTGTTTGCAGTGGCGTGCTAGATGAACTTATGCTGGCGCATACGGAAACAGACACTTCTTTGAACCCGCAGCAGGTCGCGACTATCATGGGCACATTTCCGATGGAGGTGAAACTCAGTGTTAAAGGAATATAGGTTTGCTTTGCTCAGTAGATGTCGTGAGTTTCCTTGCTGATTATAGGAGCTCATATATACGAATTAGGGTAGAAATGTTCCAAGACTAAGAATAACTTTCGAAGAATTTCCTCGATTTTTCACACTGTCACCAACACATGTAGTTGTCCATGTGCATATTTTCCCACAGTGGTATCACTCATCGAGCTTGATATCGGAGATTGAAGATTTTCGAGTCAATATGGATGTCTTGAGTGAATGGCCACTCCCGAGTACTTAATTCTGCTTTTGAGTAGAAATGAATTCGTTTAAATAAAATTGATAATTGTGAAAATATTGAAGTTTCACCCGTTTTACGTGAAGTGGTGAAAAACGCGATATTTGCGCCTTGCAATAGTCGTGAAATATGTTTTCCACTAGTGTTTTTCATATCACTAGGGTGAAACTCCACTGTTATCATACATTATCAGAAGCGCCTCCTCTATGTAGGTACGCACTAAACTAGCATACTCTATGCACGGCGGTCGGCATTTAAGTCTGGACATCTTCTCGGACTCCCGCAACAAGAATGCTCTGGTCAGCACGCAAGCACATTGCAATAGTGATGGTGGAAATTTCAGATCTGTCATCTCGCGCCTCTACTACAGCGAGTAGTGAAGCGACCGATGGATGACAAAAACGGCCTGATATGGAAAGAAGGTGAATTCGGTATTCCCATGGGCGTCTGTACATGCTCCCAGTCAGGTGACATCGCGGATCAAGTCGTGTTTGTTGTGAGAGGACAAGTCGGTGTCGAGGCACCGTTGGAGAATACACAGGAGGAAACTAAGGGAAGTAAGTTTAGATAGAATTCGATTGTTGTCAACAGTATATGTTCGCTCTACCCAACCGAGCTGAGCAATTTCCTCACTAAGTATAAAAGTCTACAGACAAATTCGGGTAAAAGTGCACAGAAAATATCAAGAATTTTCCAAAAAAATTTCTCGGAATTTTCACGCTGTTACCGACACATGTAGTTGACCATGTGCATACTTTCCCACACTGCTCATCAGATGCCCCGCGACCACCTCTGTGGTTCTATAAGGAAGGGAGCTACTTTGGTGAAGTCGAGCTATTCTGTCAGGTGAGTCTACTGTGGTTGTCCATCCTGCTCGAGCTGGGCGGGAAAATTCATAGTGTATTTTTTTCTCGGGCAAATGCGAAAATCTTGTATTTCACGTTAGTGTCTCAGGCTGGACGATTTTCAGTGTAGTGGTGATCTATCACATACTAGAGTGACACGATCTTGTTCGTGAAAATATCGAATCTCTCCGAGAAAAAATGGGGAAAATAATTCATTTTCTATTTGACCAAATTTCCTTGCCGGTTTACATTGATTGCGATCAGGAGCATCGGCAGTTCACCGTTAGAGCCTACAGTGATGCAGAGTTGTTTGCCTTGGATGCGGCCGCGCTGTTTCGTGAGTCCTCGATGAATGTTAAGGTGAAACCACTTTCATTTTTCTAGAGACTTTTTGTGCCTTCCCACATCTGCTGATGTCGATGCAGAGAGATGCGACGGAGAAGCTCAAATATGTATGTCTTCATCATCGATGCCGTTCTGTGGACTCACTTGTTTTCTGCATAGTTTTGCGTTCACCCAAGACTCCGCACTGAACAGTTCAGAGCATCCCTCAGAACAGGGCGGAATTTGGTTGCTCATCGTGAGTGTCGGCAACAGTAGACTTCGCGTTAGTTTTGGTTTTCAGATCGAGAAGGACGTGGCGTTAGTGACATGAGCGACTTGGGGATCCCCCGTGAGAAGATCGACAATTCTGGAGTCTTGTCCTACCATCGAGAATTCTCCCGAGGCATGGGCTACTATTCGCATTCGGTTTATTCTCTTTCCCATCAGGTTCATCGAATCACAAAGAAGTCAGATTGGGGAAAAGCGATTTGGTCGGTCCCCGGGGTCTTTCCGTTTCGATAAGCAACCTTGCTTTAGATGGATGAAAGCGACGATTCAGCATCACCGTACGAGGACACTTCCAAGTTGGCAAAACGCCAGGAGCTCCTTCTGCGACTTGTAAGCTCGTAGAAGTATGACCGCTGTGAATTCCTTTCAGGTGAAAGATGATCTGTTGCCAGCCCTCGACGATATGGAACTCAAACTCCGTGAGATTCCACGACTCCGACCGATTCGAGAGATGCCTTTTTTGCTTCATAGATACTTTATTACTTGCCCAGCAGAGAACAGTGACCTGAGTTCCAGATCGTATAATATTTTTTACTTAGTGCGTGCTACTAATTGTCGTTATGCGAATTTTTCTTGACTAATTATTGTTCCGCATATTAACGTATTACTTGTGCTATTCGTTTCGTCAGCTACTCGCAGCTGCAGAATATAAACTCTATTGAGTACTCTAATGAACAGCAACGAGACTATCGTCTCTTGGCGCATGCTTTCGTTGACTTCAACATATTGTGTTTAGTCATCAATTCTACGGAACCATACGCGACAACATGCTCGTGTCGAACTTCGATGAAAGATAATTATAATCTGTGTACCATCGATTTAACACACTCCCTCACGTTGATGACTCGGGAAACACAAGTATTCCCACTCGAAAAGACTGTGATCAGATCACGAGGATGAATGCGTATAACATAGCAGCCGTTTAAATATGTCTTCATTCTTCTCCCAATCCTCCAAAATGGCTCTCAGAGCGCATATAGTGGGCGCGGAAAGTTCATAAGCTAAGTTCTATGCTAGTTGGTGGAGGTCATCCACTACAATGAGTAATGTAGATGTGTTCACTTCGCGGATCTCATTCAGTGACCGTCCCCGATATGCCGGCAGTAAACATCTCCTCACCAAAGAGGTGTATGGCCCAACACGCGTCCAGTTGCTCTTTGCATCAAACATCTACCGAGTCCAGATTTGTCACAGTTGACTTGACAACACGAATCATTTCCATTTGAGAATGAGGGCCTAAAGTGTATCCATTCGACAGCCATTAGCTTCTATTAGAAGAGCCTCATCGAATCAACTGATTCCACCCTCTACTGCTGGTTACACTGCTCAGCACTCTGCTCAGTACTGTAATAACTTGACTGATTAGGTTGCTGAAACAACATTCAACAGTAATCGATCATCTGGGCGTGCGCTAAATGGTCTAGCACTTACCTGTGTATTCCACTGCGGTTGTTGTTGTTGTTGCATCCTCAGCTGAGCCTGTTGTTGCTGCAGTCTAGCCCGTTGTTGCTGTTGTAGGCGAGCCAAGAGCGTCGGGTCAATCCTGAGGGCATTACAGATGCCACACCTCCCTAGTGGACCCCACCTCCTACTGCTGTTGCTGTTGAGCAGCTCTTTGCTGGGCCATAGCCGATGCCAACATCTGCTGCCGTTGCAACTGCTGCTGCTGCTGTTGCAACTGTTGTTGCTGCTGTTGCAATTGCTGTTGTTGCTGTTGTTGTTGCTGTTGTTGTCTTTGTGCCTGTGTGGTAACTCGCCCCTCCAAAGACCCCACCACCATCACAGCCAGCTGCCTTATAGTGTGAACGAACACTTGTGAGCTCGATTTTAGACAGTTCAACTCTTCTAGATCATTGTCAATCGATTCACTATATTCCCCACCTGTCGCATTTGCAGCTGTTCCAATAAAGCCCTCATTTGGGGTGTAGAAGTGACCTGCTGTCCGGTCTGCTGCTGCTCCTGCTGCGCTCGGGCCTGACCTCTCCGTACACAACCCCAGACTTATCACCAACTTACCCGAGCCAATTGCTGCTGCAATAACAACAGATCTTCAACCCGCTGTTGACGAGTTTTCTGTTCTTCTTGTTGCTGCCTCCTTTGCTGTAACATATCAATAACTTGCTGTGTTGAGTAACTCGGATTTGCTGTTGCTGCTACCTATCATCAATACCTACCTATTCAAATATAGTCTATATATTAGCCCTCATTATAATAATAACCATTTTATATATTCAATAATTAATCTTATGATAAGAGTAACGTATCAGTGCACTAGCAGCAGCAGCAGCAGCCCAACCACCTACCTGAGGCGCCTGTGGACGATACTGAGGTGGAGGAGGAGGGGGAGCTCTCACTCCCTCTGGAGGCGGGGGTGGGATAGATGGAGATGGCCTGGGAGTTGCTTTCTGCTGCTCTTGTTGGGTACTGCCTTTAGAATGCAGCATAGACAGTAGCTGCAGACCAGCCTGGTTGCTGCCCTAAAATTAGACAAGTCAACCTCGAGCATGTACAAGACCCCTTCAAATTTCAGGCATCTTCAACGAATTTTGGTATGATATCTCACGAAATTTTAGGAGCGATTTTACCGCGCGCCACAAAATTACTGCCCACCTGGCCAACACTGTGTTGATTCCTGCCCTGCATGCTCGTAGATTCTGCAGCGGCCCGCTGCTGTCGCTTTTGCCTCTGCGCGGCTTCCAACTCCTCCAAAGTCGTGGCGCCAGCGGGTAGATGAGGTTGTGGCTGAACACAATGGCCATACCGTAATTCC